CTACCTTTAACATATCACCTCTATATAAGAAATCAGAGCCAGGTGTGGTGACACACACCTTTAATCCTAGGACTTGGGAGGCGGAGGCAGAGGCAGGTGATCTCTGTGAATTCAAGGCCAGCCTGGTCTACATAGTGAGTTCCAGGCCAGTTGGGGCTATAGGGAGACCCATGCTATAATCTGGACTTTATGCAGCTTTCGCCTGAATATCTAGGCTTTGTAGTCATCTCACAAACTGTACTAACTGCTTCTTGAACACACACTTTACTATGATGTTTGCTGATACTATTTTATTTTATTTTATTTTATTTTATTTTATTTTATTTTATTTTATGAGTCTTATCCCTGTGTAAATGCACCAGGGTTGTGCAAAGTCTGTGGTGGCCAGAAGAGGGTATCCGATCCCCTGGAACTGGAATTATGGTTAGTTAGCTGCCACATGGGTGCTGGGAATCAACCCTGGGTCCTTTGCAAAAGAATAGTCAGTGCTCTTAACTGCTAAACCATCTCTTCATTCTCCATGTTTGGTAATGCCAAATCATTGTGTCAAACTAAAGTACCAAATACTCTCCTTTCCTGTGAAGTCAGAAAGAGCAAATATTTTTGTACATGTCTCTAACAGACGTGTAGAAATGAAATACACCATTTCTACTCCTTCATGTATAAAATATATCAACATAAAACATTCCAACTGATCCTCTGAATTATATCCCAATACAATGTATTTCATACAAAATGGATCCAAATGTTTAAGAGCTCAGTGCTCATTTGACAATCATTGAAACTCCAGATTCAAAATGATCACACTGAAGAAACAAGTACAAAAAAGCTTTTAAAACAAAAACATTTTAAAAATATACATGAATGACTTACATTTTGGCCATAAACAGCTTCCTGGGGCTTTCCACTAGCATCTACTCCACCATGAACATAGGAAGAATTTCTCCCATAAAACCTGCAAAACCATCGACAACTATCACTAACATGTCAAGAAAAGATTAAGAGGCAGTAACTGAGTTCTAGTGTCAAAACAACTAGGTTCCAAACAAATAATCAATAGGACCAGGTCTATCGCTAATCATATGTACAATCTTAGGCAAGTTACTTCAAATCTTTAAACTATTTTCAAGGTCACAAAATAGGAGAACTACCTCCCAAGGGTTGTAAGATTTCTATTTGTTTGAGACAGGGTCTCCCTATTGTCTCAGCAGGTCTCAATCTCACAGAGATCTGCCTAAAGGTGTGCATCACCATGCCTGGCTAAATGAGTTAGTGCAACCAGAACCCTTAGTGTACCTGGCACACAAAACAGATTATTAGTCTCATCTAGTTCTTACCACATTTTAAAATAAGAAAATGAGACAATCAAAGCATATTCTAAGAGTATATCCATATTTTCCAGTAATTGATCAATTTTTTCTCTTTTGGTACAAAAACTGTTGGTCTAGTTTTGTGTGACAATCAGATGTTCCATTTAGCAATCTACTAAGATGATGTTCAAATGGCTAACTCCAAAGGCTTAAATTAAAACATCTTAGATTTCAAATAATTGAAATAATTCAAAGACGAAGTGAAAAGTTATAATTGCTTCAGCATCCATTTTCTCTTATTTTATGCTATTAAGTACATGATAAATCAGATGTTCTCTAGCATTAAATAGAGCAATTAGAATTAACATCTTTCTAAATTAAGGTTATAAAAGAAGCAAAATTAGTTTTCCATAAAAGGAATTCTCTTCTTAAACATGGAAGAACTTCCTCTGTGCTAAGCACTATCACAGTGCATGACATATATTGATTCCTTTTAATCCTTCTAAACAACCTCATAAAGTGCATACCATTATCTAAATGAACAAACTGAGGTTCAGAAGAGGTTAAATTAACTGCCTACAGTCATATACCTATCAAATAGGGCAGTTAATACAAGAACCTAGACAGTCTGGCTCCAGAGTCCATGCTTTTTAACCACTACCCTGTATTTTAAATTTTATACTATTTTATTCTCATACATTACTGGAAAAGAATGTAAACCACCATTAGTTTTCTAAAGGGTTATTTTGCAGTGTGTGTGTGTGTGTTTAAGTGTACACGTACAATAAGCCTAAAGGGGTTGGAGATGGCTCAGTGGATAATGCTCTTGCAGAGGACCAGAGTTTTGTTTCTAGCACCCACCCATACCAGATGCCTGGTAAACACCTGTAACTCAAGCTACACAAGGATGTGATGGTTCTATCCCTGAAGGGAACCTGTACTCACATGCACTTACCAACATACATATGTATAATAAGAGTTAAATCTTCAAAAAGTCTTGGAAATAATACCTTAAGATTCAACAATTGTTACAGGAACTTATTCTAAGACTATAAATAAGATATATAAAAATCCATGTCTAAAAATAGTCATTAGTGTTGTTTTCAGTAAAAAAAAAAAAAAACAAAAAAAAACCCTCAATTTTCTTCCCTTTCTTTTTTTGAGATAGGGTCTCCCTGTAGTCCCCGCTGTCCTAGAACTATATAGACCAGGCTGGCCTTGAACTCTCAGAGATCCGAGGACTAAAGGCATATGCCACCACGCCCAGCTCCACCTCAATTTTAATTAAGAAGAAAAGTGATGGGGCTGGAGGGATGGAGCACTGGTTAAGAGCACTCACTGGCTGCTCACATGGCAGCTAAGAACTGCCCATAACTACAGTACCAGGGATCTGAAACCCTCTGGTCTCTGCAGGCATTAATGGCATGCATGAGTGCACAACACAGTCAAAACACATACACATAAAATTTAAATTTAAAAAAAGGAAAAGGAGTTAAACAAGATGGGTATAAAGTAGAAATTATACTATTAATTTTTAAAAAAATTACTTTTGTGTATATGTACAAATATATGCCAGAGGACACCTTTGTGGCGTCTGTTCTCTCCTTCCAGCTTTATGTAGGTTCTAGGGATAGGAACTCAGGTCATCAGGCTATCCCAGGAAGCTCTTTACCCACTGAGCCATCTCACCAACCTTAAAGCTTTTTTATTTTGTCTTTTTGATACAGGGTCTCCTTGTAGCCCCAGCTGTCCTGGAACTCACTATGTAGACCAGGTTAGCCTTGAATTCACAGAGATCTACCTGCCTCTGCCTCCTCCCAAATGCTGGGATCAAAGGCGTGCGCCACCATGCCTGGCCAACCTTAAAGCTTTTAATGACAAGGTAAAGCCTTACTTTTTTGAACTTGTGTTTTTTATTTTTGCAACGTCCCCCCCACCCCCACCCCCCCAAGCTAGTATGTTAGGAATGGCAGCTCACACCTATAATCCCAGTGCTTAGATTGTTGGTGGAATGTTGAGTTCAAGCCCAAATTGGGCTACAAAATAAGATCTTCTGGAAAAAGTAAAAACAACCCTGAACTTCAAAACAACTACCAATCTTCTGAAAGACCAAATTTCAGATATAGGCCTTAATAACCTCCCCCCTGCCCCCAATGCCTAATGAACAGTCAACAAGAGCCTTTGTATTTGGGGGAGTTATATACACTTCATATAAAATGTATGTTTCAGTACAGTAGTTGGGCTGGAATATTGGCTATGGGCAGCTCATTCAGAGTTATCCTCAATAATCCCCAATCGCCTTACTTCTCAGGAACGAGCCTGAATTAATGACTACCTTTAGCTGTCCAATATGGAAAGTGAGATAATGAAAATACCTAATACCTTATAAGCTTGGAATAAAATTTACATGATACACACACACACATACGCACATCTATGTTGAGAAAGGGGACCCTGCAACTAGTAAATATAACATTTCCTCCCATTATCACAGAAGAAACTATCATACATATTGAACAGTACAGGACAAATTGCAAAATCCAACTTTAGGCTGCCTAATGAAGACCTGTATACATGTACAAAATGTTAAATCTATATAATAGTCTTTCCCAAAGGAAGCAACAATGATATTTATTCCTAACTCAGTGTGTTCTATAGCAAATAATAAAGACTAATTCTTATTCTTACAAGAATTTTTACTCTTCCTCTTGCTAAAGTATACCCAAAAGAGCTAGGCATTGGTGGTGCATGCCTTTAGGAGATGTGTCAGGCTGAGGCCAGCCTGATCTACATATTGAGTTCTAGGACTGTTGGGCTACAGAGAGACCTGTCTCAAAAAAGTACACCTGCAAGAGTAAGTATTACTAAGAGCTACACACTACACAGATTTTATTTTGATCTCTGAAAATATTATACTTATAGATGTTCAAGTATCACCAAAATAGTACTCACCAAGTAATACTGTTTTTCAGGTAAGAAAAAAAAATACAAATTTTTCACATTTTCATAACATTTCAACACTATGAGAACTTACACATAATTTAAGTGTTTGCTTTCTAATTGCTCTTTGGAATCCATTAGTCAATCAAGTCCCACATTACTGTAATGAAAAAGAAATACTAATGTATGCATAAAAGTGTGCCTGTGCATAGTTGAATGTGTTACGTACTGGGATGTGATTTTCTTGATGTTTACAAAGATACTATCAAGTTTTGAAGAGAAAGGAAAGGCAAATATATGTCGCCATAGCAAGAAAATACTGTGCGAATATTTTACCTGTGTAAATACTCTGGAGCTTTATTCAGCAAAGTATAATATTGCCTCACAAACTCCCGCCCCACAAGTAGCGGACTGGGCTTCTCCATAACCATTTCTTTGCTGCACAATGTCAAATGCTGAGGGAGCAAACACAAAAGTAACACTTAAGAGAAAGTCATTTTTGTAAACTACCACATGATGTATCTTAATAAGAAAATTAACACCAATGACAAAAATTTAACAGTAGAACATTAAATCCCCAACTTATGTCTGTCTCTCCCACTGTACTTTCCTGATTTCCCTACCCCCCCTCAGTACAATGGGAAGTATTTTCTTATTCCCGAGAAATATCAGCTTGACTAAATAAAATATTATTTACTTCAACAGTCTAAACTAAGGATAAGGGAGTAACTGGTAGAACATGTACGTCTGCAGTTCTAGCACTCAGGAGGCAGAATCATGTGATGTGAGTTCAAGGCCAGCCTGGTCTAGATAAAGAGTTCCAGGCCAGCCAAGGGCTACATAGTGAGAACCTGTTTCCAAAAAAACCAAAAACCAAACTAAACCAAACCAAAACCTTAAGAAAAGGGGCAGAAGGTGGCTCACCAGTTAAGAGAACTGGCTGCTCTTACAAAGGACCTGGGTTTGGTTCCTAGCATTCATATGACAGCTAACAACCAACCATCTGTAGCTCCTGTTCTAGGGGATTTGATGCCCTCTTCTGGACTCCAATGGCATAACACCCACAGAGGCACTTACAAACATGCAGGCAAAATATTCATATACATAATTAAAAAGGAGGGGCTAGAGAGATGGCCCAATGGTGAAGAGCACTGGCTGTTCTTGTAGAGGACCCAGGTTTGGTTCCCAGCACCCACAAGGCACCCAACAATCCTCCTGAACTCCAGTTGCAGAGGTCACCCTTCTGACCTTCACAGGTATTGCATATACAAGGTATACTTACATGCAGGCAAAACATCATCACATAAAATAAAAATCAACCAAACACACTCTTAAAAAAAATTTCTAGACATGGTAGTATATACCTTTAGTCCAAGTCAAGCACTCAGGAGGCAAAAGCAGGCAGATCTGTGTGAGTTCCAGGCCAGCTGAGGCAACAGGGAAACACTACCTCAAAAAAGACCAAATAAATAAACTAAATAAAATAAGAGAGCCAGGTGTGGCAACTCATGCCTTTAATCCCAGTACTTAGGAAGTAGAGAAAGGTACAATGCTACATACTAGGAACCAGTCTCCACTCAAAAGTGGGAGAGGGCTGGTGATTCTACAGGTAAAGATCCTTGCAGTCAAACCTGAGTGTGAGGGCATATACACATATACTAAAGGGGAAAGGCAGAAACACATGAATTGGCTGGTGGTAACAGCTCACTGGAAGAGTAGTACAAGTGATTCCAAGTAACAGGACCTAGCCATCAAAAACAAACAAAACCCCAAACACCCCACACATAAATTACACACACACACCCCTTATAAAGTCAAGCATCCTTTCTTCTTATACTTTTTTTTTTTTTTTTTTTTTTTGTCTTTTTGAGACAGGGTCTCCCTGTAGCCCTAGCTGTCCTGGAACTTGCTATGTAGACCAAGCTGGCCTTGAACCCACAGAGATCCGCCTGCCTCTGCCTCCCAAGTGCTGGGATTCAAGGTGTGCGCCACTGCACCCAGCTCTTTTCCTATACTTTTAAGTATTGGTGGGGGGGAGGTAACAATATATCAGGCAAATCAAAATGCAGCAATTCCTACCCTACAAATCTTATTTCCTTCAAGCAACTCAACTTCATAGCCAAAGCCAACCCACAACAGTCATCACAATCTGACAGTGTTTTTCACAAATTTCAAGTAGAAATTATGGTGGAGCATAGAGGTGAGATTAATTCCAGCGACTTCAATTTTCATTTCCTGTTTTCCCTTTTGCAATTAACTTTCTAGATTTTCTAGTGATCTAAAACAAACCCCATATTTACTTAAATTTTTATATCATGCCTCACTTGTTTTCAAAATGGTTAATCCAAATAAAGCAGATCTAGAAATGCATTCCAGGTGCCCCAAAGCTAAAATTTCAAAAAGCTTAACACAAGCCCACAACAGAAAGACTCATGCACTACATTTAAAGTGGCAAAGCAGGGCTTACGTGTAGCTCAGAGACTGGCTGATCCCAAGTCCCATCCCCAACACTGCAAGAACAAAATACAATAAAAGTAAAGCAACAAAACCAAAATTTTCCTTCTGTGTAAGTACATCACGTGCATGTTCCAAGAGCACAAACTCAGGTGCTATTTCTCAGGCACTGTCCTTTTTTTTTGGGGGGGGGGGGGAGGGTTAAGGTCTCATTGTCAGGAAACTTACTAGGCTGTCAGGATTAACTCAGTGTAATGGCACACACCTTTAAACCCAGCAACTGGCAAACAGAGGCAGGCCAGGGCTATACATACTGAGACCCTGGTCTCAAAATTTGGCATATTATAATACTGCAACAATAAACTGCTCAAACAGTAAGTGGCAGAGCACTTGCCTAGCAAGCACACGAGGCTCTGAGAATAACACTGTACTGCAAGATTCACACTGAAACAGGAGATGATACTAAATTACTCTCTGAATAAAATTATGTTAAAAAAAAAATTAGGGTTGGAAATGACTTGCTGATTAAGAGCCCAGGCTGTTTTTTCGGAGGACCCAGTTTCAGTTCCCAGCACCCACATGGTAGCTAGCAACTGTCCATAACTCCAGGTGCAGGGGATGAGATAGGCATTGCAAGCACAGGTGCACTTACATACATGATGGCAATACACTCATACACACAAAAATATCTTCATGCTGGATCTGTGAATTTTCTATAGTAACACTTATTTACTGCAGATCTCTCATCCATGGAAATGTGTGCATTTACCATTTTCCCCTTTATACATGTTTGATTCTCAAAAGAGGGAATTACAAACATCGTTATCATAAAGTCAAAATACCCTAAAGATAGCAGTTCAAGAGAGAAACTTCAAATTGTTCACTATTTTTAGTCACTTAAAGTTCCATGGCCACTTAGGCTATAGGAGATCCTATATCAAAAATAAGGGCTGGGAAGATGACCCAGTTGATGAAGTTCATGTTCTGCAAGCATAAAGACTTGAGTTCAGATCCTCAGAGGATGTTCTTCTATAACCCCAGTACTGGGGAGAAAAAGGTGGGATCAATGAAGCTCACTGACCAGTCAGCCAAGTGAGCTGATAGGCTCCAAGTTCAGTCAAAGTCCCTGTCTCAAAAAAAGGGCAGGAAGGGCAGGGGAGGTGACTATTTCAGGAGATGGAACTCAGGAGATAAAGAGTGTGGTTTTTAGCTAGGTATGGTGGCATACAACTTTAATCCCAGCACTCAGGAGGAAGAGGGAGGTGGATCTCTGAGAGTTCCAGTCCAGCTGGGGCTGCAAAGAGACCTTGTCGCAACAAAAAAAAGAAAGAAAAAAATTTATTTTATGTGTGCAGGTGTACTGCCTACATGTATGTGAGTGCACTCATGTCATGCAATGTTCACGGAGGTGCACCTGTGTCTTTTTTTAATTTTTAGAGAATCTCATACCTGAGTATTTGCATTATTTACACTTCCCATATTTCTCTCACAATTTCCTGTCCTCTTTAGTGCTAAATATGTGTGTGTGTGTATACACACACACACACACACACATTTATAGATATACATATAAACGTCTAAGATTGCACTGAGTACATTTAGTGGTATACATGTCTTTGAATCTTTTGGGGGGGGTATTTTTGAAACAAGGTCTCCCTTTATCCCTAGCTGGCCTGGAACTCACTATGTATGTAGAGCAGGCTGGCCTTGATCTTACAGAGTTCTGTCTGCCTCTACCTTTGGAGTGCTGGGATTAAAGGCATGAGCCACCATGCCTGGCTCTGTCTTTTAACCTTGACTCTAGAGCTTGATTTCTTTCTCTCTCTAGGCTTGATTTCTTCATTGGCTAGATCTCTTCTGATTTGTACACTAGCTGATTTTTCCATGGGCACAGATTAAAAAAAAAAATTCTTCTCATGCTTTGAATTTTGTTTTGATAAGCTTTCCAAATTATTTTTAAGGATTTTATTTTTATTTTATGTGAATGAGCATTTGACCTGCATGTAAGTGTATGCAGGCTGGTGGAAGCCGGAAGAGAGCAATCAGACTGGAACGGGAGGTACTGATGGGTGTTAGGTGTCATGTGGGTGCTAGGAACCAAATCTGAGTCCTCTGGAGGAGCAGCAAGTGCTCTTAACCTCCAAAGCCATCTCTCCAGCCTCTCTCCACCTAGAACTTTTTTTTTTTTTTTTTGAAACTGTGTCTGATTATATGGACCAGATGACTCTGGAATTTATGATTTCCCGCTGCAGGTATATTTATTCTGAATGTATAATCTGGATTTTCTTTTCCTACTCCCCGCAATTATATATACTGGCTGTGCATAAATGGACTTTATGTAGCTTAATTTTCCAAGTCTTATTTCCCACAACTACCCCATACTGCCTTCTTTGATATTATATCTTATTTCCTGAACTGATTTCTCTATGGAGAAAATCAGGTGAACAGGTGAAGTAGTAGCTGTTTGGTGGTACATGTCTTTTAATCACATCACTCCAGAGGCAGAGGCAAGTGATCTCTGAGATCAAGGCCAGCCTGGTCTACAAAGGAAGTTCCAGGCCAACTATGGCTACAAAAAGATAAGAAAAAAAAAAAAAAAAAAAAAGAGATGAGTTCTTTGTACATTTTACTGTCTAGTTCATTTTCTTCAATTGTATTTTGGCCATTTTAGATAAGTTATAGTAAAAAAAAAAAGCTGACTTATGGGTTCTATGTAACTGGTTAAAATACATTCTTGGAGCTAGAGCGATGGCTAAGAGGTTAAACCTCCAGTTCCAGGGGATCCAAAACCCTCTTTTTGACCACCTTGGGCACTGCAAGACATGAGTACACACATGCAGGTAATAGACCCATACACATAAAAAATAGTAAATTAAGCTGGGCATGGTGGCGCACACCTATAGTCCCAGCACTTGGGAGGCAGAGGCAGGCAGATCTCTGTGAGTTCAAGGCCAGCCTGGTCTACACAGTGTGTTCCAGGATAGCTGGGGCTACAGGGAGACCCTGTCTCAAAAAGACCAAAAAAAAAAAAAAAAAAGTAAATTAAACAATTTTAATTTTGTGTACACAAAAACATTCTTCAGGAAGTCACCATGGCACTTCAAAGTTAAGATCAACTACCTTTTCAGATAGAGCAGTCCATATATTAAATCCCACTTCCTCCTGAAAAGGGGAAATGACTTTATGTAGGAACACACAATCAAAAATTTACTGGCACATAAGCTCTAAACAGATCAATCATTTGTGAACCTGACTTTATGTGTCAACTAACATGATGTTTATTCATTCAGACTCCAAGCTCATATCCTGCTACCATTTATAGCAACTCTCCCGTTAATTTTTAGCATTATCCTTTTCTATGCATTTGTTTTTTTAAGTGTGCATACATGTAGGCCAGGGGTTGACTAGGGGTCTTCCTCCCCTCCCCTGCTCTCATTTTACTGAAACAGGGTCTCTCAGTGATCCCGAGGCTTGCCAATTCACTTATTCTAGCTAGCCACCTTGCAAGTGCTTTATTCACTGAGCCATCTTCCTTAGCTCCTCATTTTGGTTTCTTTCTTTTTTGAGACAGGGTCTCCCTGTAGTCCCAACTGGCCTAGAACTCACTATGTAGACCAGACTGACCTTGAACTAACAGAGATCCGCCTGACTCTGGGATTAAAGGCCTGTGTCAGGCCCTCATTTTTGTTAACTGTGTTTCTTCTCCATTTTCCTAGACTTAATTCCTGAAGCACACCTGCTACAGCACTCAAGGGAAATTGCTGTTATCAACAGTCTCCAATCTGTCCTGAGTTCCCACACAGAGGTGGGAACAGAGGAAAAAGGAAAACACACTAGATAAAGCAGGTATGTAGCACTGTGGGGGTGAGGGACAAATAGGAATACACATTTAAAGCTAGCCTTGTTCTCAAACAGGTAAGATAAACATATAATAAACTTCATTTCAATCTTTTAAGAGATAATTTCATTTGCTTTCTAATTAGGTGTAATGGGGCTGCCTCTATGAAAACAATCTCAGGCTTTATTAGTATAGATGCAATGTCTCCAGTATACCTGCAAGTTGAGTGAATATATCAAGTAGAAATTACAGAAACGTACATTTTGGGTTCAATATAATGGAAGAATTACCATAGTTACAAGTGTTAATTAACTATCAGAATCCCTGACCTCTATCCTACACTCACTCATCTGTAATGGCAAAAACCCTGTGCATTCAAAAGGACCCAATAAAAAATACCATTTCCAGGTGGTGGTGGTGGCAGCAGATGCCTTTAATCCCAGCACTCAGGAGGCAGAGGCAGGTAGATATCTGGTCTACATATGGCAAGTGCCAGGCCAGCTGTGGCTACAAGAAGACCCTATCTCAAAGACCAAACAAAACAAAGAAAACAATCCTCTCAAAAAGACCCCCCCCAAAATCCCCCTTAAAAAGCTTTCCCAATTCAAGATATCTTTTTTCAGACTTCTCAAAGTACTCTGGGTCTTTATTAACCATATTCTGTCTGATGTTTACTGACCAACTGTCTCAGTGGTCTCCATTCCCCTCTTGAATATTTTAACAGCACTCAGAATTTCAAAAATCTAAAATAGCCAATGATTTCTCCTCTACCCTCTGTCACTATTGAACTCTTCTAGGGTAGAACTGTAAAGGAATTTCTTTCTCACTTCAAGAAAATGGTTTTTTTCAAGATTTTGCCTTTAAAATTTTTTTTATTATTTTTATGTATATAAGTGCACCTGTGATGTGCAATGCCGCAGAGGTCAGAAGAGGGCTTCAGAGTCCCCTGAAACTGGAGTTAAGGATGGTTCGTAGCCGCCATGTGGGTGCTGGGAATCGAAGCTGGGTCCTCTGCAAGAGCAGTCAGTGCTCTTAACCGCTGAGCCATCTCTCCAGCCCCAAGTCTGCATTCTAACCCTGCAATTTCAGGTATTTTAATGGGTTCACCTCTCCCATTTACTTAAATTTGTATACAGGCTTTACCACTAGCTCAAAATTTTCTACATTTCTAATCGTGCATCCTTTAACCTGATCTCCTACGGAACCAAATATATGCATGCATCCTAGTGAGAAAACTCCTTCCTGATTCTGTTAAATTGGTGTCTCCCATCTTCTTGGTTTTCTTGAAATGTTAGCCATGAAATGCCTTTCTCCCTTTTGGCTCTGCCAACCAAGCTGCAAAATACTAAGAGCAAGTCATTCAGACTTGTCCCCTGCTTCTCACTCCCACTGAATGTATGCAGCCCTTACAGTTCCACCCTTAGAAGTTTTCCATGGTAGGGCCTGCAAGTTTCAAGACCTGAGTTCAACTGTTGGGACTCACAGGGTGAAAGAGAGAATCAACTCCCACAGGTTGTCCTCTGACCTTCACACACACATCTTGGCATGCATGTATACATGCATGTACATGGGCACATACACCAAATTAAAAAAATGCTAATGAAATACAGTCTGACATTTGGGGTCCTAACTAACCTTTCAAAATAATCTTCCATTACACTCCTCACAGCTGTTGAAGTTAATATTGCATTACTTGACACCATTTTGTCATTTTCACTCTCTGGGTCTTTTTCTCCACAGGTTCAACACAAGCTGAGCCAACGGGTAAGGTTATAAAAATTCATTCTATCTTCTGAATGTCCACTATGTATGTGTCAGAAACTATGCAAGGAACTGTGGTGGACATGCTCTGCTAGCCAAAGAAATGTAAAGTCTTATGACAGAATTCCTACATAATTATCTTATTTATGTGGTAACTACCATAAACCACTATGGTGTACTGTTTCAACTGGAGGAGTAGAAATGGACACACAGAAAAGATAATAGAATACTCTAAACCAAAGCTAAATGAGAGAAAGAATTTTTAGAAAATTAACGTCGTCTCAAAAGAGACTACTAATCCTACTCTCCCCTAGCCTTCACTTAAAATTCTCAAGGTCCTGGCCGGGCGTGGTGGTGCACACCTTTAATCCCAACACTCGGGAGGCAGAGGCAGGCGGGATCTCTGTGAGTTCAAGGCCAGCCTGGTCTACATAGTGAGTTCCAGGACAGCTGGGGCTACAGGTAGACCCTGTCTCAAAAAGACCAAAAAAAAAAAAGAAAACCTCAAGGTCCAATCCCAAAGTTCTACCCAACTCTCCTTTCCTAGTGAGGGTCTTTGGAAGAATAATTCTTTGTTCTTTCATTATTGAAAGAGTATCTTTTCTTTAACTCTTACTAGAAAAATGCACTGATGTTGGCCTGACACTGTAATGCTCTTAGGAGATGCTCAACAGTTTCCTTGCAGAATCTGCCATTATTTTGTACATAATAAAATTAAATTTTTTCTTGACAAGTATGATACAAAACCAAGAACACTAAAATACAAAAAAAATTTTTTTTTGTCTTTTTGAGACAGGGTCTCTCTGTAGCCCTAGCTGGCCTTGACAAACTCAGAGATCCGCTGGGATTAAAGGCGTGTACCACCATGTCTGGCTAAAATACAAACATTTTAATAAACATTTTAATAAAGTTATGGAGGAATGTTAATTTAAGAGATGAAATGCACTTCTTTACATGTAAAACATATACTTGTACACATGTACTATTCATATATCAAACTTAGAAGTGTATTTTGAGTAACTAAAGGTCCAAATAAATTAAGTATATAGCATATAATAAGCACAAGTAATTTTAAGTTTAGGCATAGTGAAACATATAAACCCAGCATTCAGGAGGCAAAGGCAAAAGGATGACCCCAAGTTCAAGCTGTTAGGGCTACACAAGTCACACCGTGTCTCAAAACACCAAAATAATACACACCCACTTGTGTTCTCCACAGACATCACACGCACGTTGTAAAAGCACTCACACACAAAAAAGGCAAACATTAACAATCTAAAATCTAAAACCATTAATAGCTTCAAGAATAGAGAGAAATTACCACCGTTTTGCAGTGGCAAACCTTTAATCCCAGCACCAGGGAGGCAGAGGCAGGAGGATCGGAGTTCCACACTGGTCTACACAGTGAGTTCCAGTAAAGGCCCACTAGAGGGAGACCTTGTCACTTAATTAAGCACCCCCCCCACACACACACACACCAAAAAGAATAGAGAAGTTAATAGAAAAGGGCTTTTTTTTGGGGGGGGGGGTTCTTAAGTGCTGAGGATCTAACCTAGGGGCCTTGAGCCAGGTAAGTACTCTACAACCGTCATACCGCCAGTCCCAGCATCTTATTAACTTAAACATACTCCCACTTACATGACCCAGTAGCCCCAGGTATTTTTCCAAGACAAATCAAAAATTACAATAAAAATTACATAGCAATAAGGAACTGTTTTTATGTGCAACAATGTGAATGAAATTCAAAGCATTATTCTAAGCTAAAGTCAAACATAAAAGGCTAACATGAGTCTACTGATGACATTTTGTAAGACAGAAGACTTTAGAGACAGATCAGGAATTGATGGCAAAAGGAGTTAAGGACTACAAAACAACATTACAGGAATTTGAGAGTAATGAATGTATCCTCTAGGCTGATAGTAGTGGTAGTCTCACAATCACATATCTGTCCAAAGTCATACAACTGTACAAGAGTGCTTTTTACTGTTAACTGAATTATGTCAACCATTTCATATTTATTAAGACTACTGCAGGGCGGGAAAGCTGGCTCAGTGGTTAAGAACACTGGCTGTTTTTGCATAAGACCTGGTTCAAATCCCAGCACACAAATGGCAACTAACAACTGTCCGTAACTCCAGTTCCAGGGGAACCAGCAGCCTCTTCTGTCCTCCTTGGGCATTGAAGGACACAGGTACACTGTCCTCATTGGGCATTGCAAAACACAGGCACACTTACCTGCTTGCAGGCAATAGATACATATACGTAATAAAAATATTTAAAAAAAAAAAAGACTACTGCATACCAAGTACACAGAAACAGGACATAATGTTCAACCAGCCAGACATCACAGAATATATATACCTATAATCCTAATATATGAGGTCCTGGGTTCCAACCCCAGACAGAAACTCAACTCTGTAGTCCAGACGGGCCCTAAACTCATGGCTGTCCTTTTCTGGTCTCCTCAACACTGGGATTTTAGATGAAAGCACCATGCCTGGTTTAATATTACTAAGCTAATATTTACTTCCAGTATGCCTACCTTAATGACAATACATTTCTAACAATTTTAGTATTTAAAGGTTAAGTCTGGCTGGGCGTGGTAGTACATGCCTTTAATCCCAGCACTTGTGAGTTCTAGGCCAGCCTGGTCTACATAGGGAGTTCCAGGTCAGCAGGGGCCACAGGGAAATCCTGTCTCAAAAAGACCACACACACACACAAAAGGGTTAAGTATGAGTATGATTAAATTATTGCTAAGTGAAGGTAAATTGAGGAACTAGAGATAGGGAACACTCTATTGGGGAAAAAAAAAAAAAAGCCATGCTGGAATTAAATATGGTCAGCTTTGCAGAGAAATAGTAACTAAAACTTTGGGGCTGGGACTGTAGTGCAGTGGTGAAGTGCTTACCTAGCATGCTCCAAGGCCCTGGGTTTGATTTCTAGCATCAGCACCAGGAAAAAAAGAAAACCTTACTATGCAGATCATAAGGTAAGAGGCATTCCAAACTTCAATGCTTCCGAGTGATAAATTTTTAAATCAGTCTAATGGTTCATACACAAGTCCTTAAAATACTTAAAAAACTGAAAAAGCAGCACAGAATTTAAAACTAAGGTATGATTTCATTATAAAGGCAATGTATACAGTGTGAACAAAAGAATGAAAATGAAATTAATTTAAATCCACTATGGACAGTAAAATATCAGAGCAGATTATAACAGAAAAGATAAGGTTATTCAAAGCAAAATATTTTCGAATTTCATCAACTCTAATTTCAGGGATATCTCAAATGGCATCTCCCCATTGAAGACATTGCTCTACTGCTATATAATGATAAAATGGCTAGATCTTTTTAGAAAAAATCCAGCTTTACTGTTAAACTACAAATACTTGGCCACAACTACCAAGGCAACTGTTCAAAGTTTCAGATTTCAGAGCATTCCGATTTTCAGATTGGAGATATTCAAGCTTGTGCAAATATTTCAAAATCTAAAAATCCTGAAACTTGAACAGTTGTGGTCCCAAGCATTTTCAAACAAAGGGATCTTTGATTTTCTTTTTTTTTTTGGGGGGGGGGATGCTGAGACAGGATGCCACATGCCACATAGCCTAGGATGACCTTCAACTTCAGATCCTCCTGCCTTCACTTCCCGAGTGCTAGGATTAGAGTTCAACACCACTACAGTTTTGCAGTGCTGGGGATCAAACCTAGGGCTTTGAACATGCTAAACAAGGACTCTACCAACTCAGCTCTAACCACAACACTCTTCAATCTTTACAAACATTAAAACAGTCAAAAATTCACTCACTGCAATTATTTCCATGAAATTTCATGTCATTCTCTAGTGGCTATTTTAATGCTTAGAGAAACTAGGCAAAATGAATACTTGAAGAGAAATCCATTTTTAAATTGGAAAAAATAGGTCAACAAAACAGAATACCTAGAAAGGGGGGGGACACTTCTAAACGTGGAAAGTCATGCATACTATAATTTTGGGGGGGTCCTTTTGAGACAGGGTCTCCCTGTAGCCCCAAAAGGCCTGGAACTCACCATGTGCCTAAAGAGTGCTGGGATTAAAGGTGTCTGACGCTACGCCTGGCCCAATAATTTCTTCTATTACAAGAAAGTTTTCAACAGGTTGCAGTTAACAGAGGATGTTATCGAAGGCTATGCCTATTTGAAGACCCGGCCTTATTTATCTCCACCACAGGATGCTTACTCCCATCCCTTCTGCTGGGCTCACCCTAGTTAAGGCTAAGGTCCATACTTACTGACAGAAAGACTATATATAGCCTTTTCAGCTTTAAGACCCTATTAATCCTGGAACTTTCCAAAGTTCTTGAATGTCTCTTTTAAACGTGATTTAAACAAATCACAGTAATACTATCCATACATTTTTAGGACTAGGGTCTCAAACTGGCTATGGTGGGCTTTAGAATGAAAGTTTCATTACCAAGACCCAAGAACCAGAGTGACAGAAGAATGCCACAGATAAAGCAACCTCTATTCTCAGCCCCAAAGGCAAGAGGGTTTTGAAGTTCAGAAGCTTTAAAATTGAGCATTAAGAAATGGAAATGCTGTCCTACAAAAACAAAAGAATGTATTCCTACATGCTCTAAAGTTTAGCAAGTAGCCTGTATGTTTTTTCGTCTTGAACAGGTATGGTGTTAACTTCAGAAATGGAAATTGATGTTTAGAGGCTAAGGAGATCAAAGTCCCTCAGTTTTTAGTTGTAAGGAGAATATGAAACTGACTTTCCTGTCTATAGTGTGATGGCTTCATTATTATACCTGATTAAGAAAAAACTAATTTGGAAGAATCAGCAAGGAATCAAGAATTTAAGCTGGGCTTGGTGGTATATACCTTTAATCCCAGCACTGGGGAGGCAGAGATGCAGAGGCAGCCTGGTCTACATAGTGAGTTCCAGGCCAGCCCCACTACAGAGAGACCCCCGTCTCAAAAAAGGGGAGGGGGAAATCAAGAATTTTAAAATTTTTAATAAAGTTCAATTTTTATGCTGGACTTAAGTGACACATAACTCTATATTCCCAGTACTAAGAAGGCAGAGGCTGAGAGACACTATGAGTTCAAAGCCAGCTAAATCCCAAGCTGGCCTGCTTTATACAAAGACCCCGTTTCTAAGAAACCAAAAAAAAAAAAAAATTCAATTTCTACTTTAAAAATAAGCCGTTGAGAGGAACAACATCGAAAATCAAAGAATATAACAAGGCAGTAACACAATAGTAAAAGTCATTCCAAACATTACTCTGGTATCAAAAGGAGATAAAATATCTAGAAAGTAGAACAGTAAAATAAGACAGAGGACAAGAAACTTTATTTCAGGGTCCAGAAAAAAACATCAGTTTGCTTTATCAACTATTAAATACATGTCTATCAGAGGAGAGTAACTAGGTCAAGACTGTCAAAATCTTCTGAACTGAGGTTCAGAAGCAATCCTTAATTGTGTGCTTTTCAATCTAAAAGCTGAAAAAACATCATTCACCATCTTCATACCCACTCAACAGAAAATGCTGGGAAAATAACCTTTTTAAAGCAATTTAGGAAATAATTTTTAATGCTCATAATGGGTAATAATAATTCTGCAACATAAAAGGCTTTTAAGAATCTAAAGGCTGGAAAGATGCCTCAGGGGTTAAGAGCACTGGCTGCTCTTAGAGAAAAGCAGCAAGTTTGGTTCCTAGCACCCACCTGGTAGCCAACATCAGTCTGTAACTCCAGTTCCAGGGGATCTGAAGTACTCTTCTGGCCTCCTCTGGTAATGTATGACAACAGTGCACTTACATACATACAATACATACAGGCAGAACACTCATACACATAAAATAAAAATGGATTTTTTTTTTTTGAGAACAGGTTTTCCTGTAGCCCTAGCTGGCCTGGAACTGACTATGTAGACCAGGTTAGCCTTGAATTCAAGAGATCCTCCTTCTGACTCATGAGTGCTGGGATAAAGGCTCATACAAATATTTTTTAAAAAAAGAATCTAAAGACACAGCCTGGTGGCCCAGTGCTTGGGAGGCAGAGGCAGGCAGGCAGATCAAAGTCAGAGAGACCCTGCCTCAAAAAACAACAACAAAAAAAAACAAAACAAAACCCAAACAAATTAATCTGAAGTCACTATTAGCATTTCCAGAAGGTGATATTGAAATTTTGCTATTTTAATCTCTCCTAAAGTCAAATATGGCTAATAAACATTCCCTGCTACCAGAAGTGCCAACACTTTCTTCAAAACCAAGAGTTGTCTGGCAAGTCATCTATTCAGTCATTAAAGTTAACAGTCTAGCTATTAAATTTGCTCTAGCTTCACATGCCTGGGGTTATATTAACCTCCAAAGTGGTATCTGGAAAAGAAACTGTCACCAAGATACTGCAGTCCCCAACGGCAACAATTGATTCCTAGATCTGGGTACTTGCAATGCACCAGGTATGGTGCCTAGAACCTAGAGTGAGACTCTTTTTCCAAATACATAAATCAAATTACTGTTATTGTTTTGAGACTGGATCTATGTAGACTAGGCTGGCCTCATTGAGGTCACCAGTGATGCCTCTAGAATGCTGGGATTAAAAGCCAGTGCCATCAGGTTGGCAAATGACCTTTATCTGCTGCTCCTGATAGCCACCCACTCCACAACCATTCTAGTTCATTCCACTCCAGAAGCTTGCTTTCACCGGCACTAATATTTCAATTCAATATTCAACTTAAATCACCATAGAACTGACCCACTATGAAAAACATCTGAAGCCCTTACATTACTAGATCATTTTTCAGAATGAAATTAAAATTTATAGAGATCAGTTCATAACCCAAGAATACATGACTAATCCTAAAACTTTCAGAAAACGGAAGGGTAATTTCGCATAACACATAATTCTAAAGGTCCAAACTGACCAAACCTATTTTTCAGGACCGTAAGTCTTGGATATCAAAGGGACCACTGGATTGAGCAAGGCCAAGTGTTTACTTAAAAACTTTGGTTCACATGCCTAAGGCTACTTTAACTGCCAAATATGGAACTGAACAAGAAATTACTATCCTCGTCTAAGCCACTGTAGCGTGTCCCCGTAACTGCAGAGTTCTTAGATTTGGGTACTTGCGACACACGAACCTTAAAACCAGAAAAACCTGAACCTTAAAATCAGAATTTTAACCCAAGTTAATAGCACAACAATCATACATTGGGGGAAAAGGGGCAGTTTTCCTACTTCAGTTTCGGTGCACGTGTTTTGTTTTTAAGGAGGCAAAGACATCGCCTCTAACACTCGGTTAAAAATCAGTTACACCTTATGGAGAAAAATTGTGGACCCCAAACTTACATACAGACCCAAAGCTGGGAAAAGACACCCTTGGTAAATCTTTCAGAGGCGCAAGAAAAACCTCGGTAAGATTCCACTAACAAAATCCACACCCTCTAGAGAGGCTTATGTTCTTTGCCCCCCAGGTTCCTCCCAGAGAGAAACCCGTTTCTAAAGCACCCAAGCATCTTTGCAGTTCCTGGTTAACAGGAGACCGTCTGCAGAAAAAGGCCGAGGGAGGCGCACGTTAATAGCTCTCGTCTCGCAACATGTTCTCGATAATGAAGGGGGTGCGGAACACCGAGCACCCGGCAAGCAGAGAGGGGCCCGCCTTCAAGGCTAGATTCAATTTCCGGGCACAGAAATGGTGCCTGGAAGCCGCTACTTTCGCATCTGCGTCGCTTCAGCCTCTGCCGACTCGGCCTCCTTCCCCTCCCCCACGGGCGGGGCAGCGACCGCGAACCCCGGCTGCAGACCAGAGGCGAGCAGGACCGGTGAGCTCCCCACCTTCGCACACCCTCTGCAGAAAGCCCACTGTCCCGCTTCGCGGCCCGGCTCCCAGCTGCGCGCCTCCGGGAGCGGCGGCGGACCGGGTCCCACCTAGCCGCCTCATCCCGGAACGCTAGCCCCACCTGTGCCCTTCTCTGCACCACGCGCGCCGGTCAGCTTCCTCCCCACGCAGCCTCCCGCCGCTCACCTTGCAGAAAAGGCTCAGCTCCTCGCACGCACGCACACACGCAGTCTCGGTGGTTTAGGCAGCCAGCGAGAACAATGATGTCTCTGCCGCAGCTCTCCCGACAGCCGAGCGCAACACTAGACGGTTGCCGAGAGCCGCGCAGCTAAGCGGAATGTCCCCTGCCGACCACCACACCGGCCTCCCCGCCCGGCCCCCGTACACACCTCCAACCAACAGCGGCGGCAGGCCCGTCGCGCGGAGGTCAGGAGTCGCCGAAGGTTGGCCGCAGCCTTTCTTCCGCGCTCGCCGCCTCCTCCCTGCGATGAACGCGAAGCCTCCGAAACTAGAGGGCCACGAGCTCGTTCCCGATACTACCACCTCTTCCCCGGCTGCCGAGAGGAGCTGCAGCGAGGTACGAGAAACACTGACGTCCCGCCCCCTTTGCCGCCGCCCCCTCTTATTGTTTTACCCCTGCCGAAAAGGCTAGGGAACCCCCCAGCACAGCTTCAGCCAATCAGGCATCTCGTTGGAGCGCCGGCCCCAACCTTCTCGCGTCCCACAGCGGAGCACGCGCAGAACGCCGCCGCGCTCGCGCACTTGCGCATCCCGAAAGCCGGGGAACCGGAACCGGCCTAAAGCCAGGGCGAGAGTCCGCTGACTTGACGTCACAAGGAAGCTGCCTTTCTGTTTCCCGGAGGCTGAAGGCGCGCTGCCCTTTTTCCTGGTGGCGCGAACCAGAAGGAACTGGCGGGCGGTATCTTTTACACAGGGATACTCCAGGCGCCTGTTAGGAGGGAGGGAATTTAGTAATCTCCGAATTAGGTGTCCGCAGGTAGCTGCCCTATCAGAGCTTTAAAATACACCCAGTCAGTGGCTTCAGCTGTTTGGACGGTAAGCACATCGACATTATTAACATTATTAGGAAACGGTGGTCTTAAGTCATTTGTAGTGCAGCCTACTGTAGGGTGCTAGGCCCTGGAATGTGGGAAAAAATATGACATGGGCTGTTACAGAAGTCAAGACTTTAGTGTGGCCTTGATCTTAAACACACCTAAGTGAAGCATTTGCACTGGTCGGCTGAAAGGCTTGAAATAGGAAGTGACTAACAGCTGTAGATCCAGACTTGCCTCTGGGGCTTAGTTATGGACACAACACAGTCTTCTGGACCTTGGTATATGGAAAAAGCCTTGCAGACAAGATGATAGCTTTGTTTCTAAGACCTGGCAGTCTTTTGAGTATCAAGATAACAGGCATTTTGGAATGAAGACTTGATGAAATGGTAATAGAAGGGGAATTAGGGCCAGAAAAACCCACATCTGACCTAAGCATGAAACAGGAACATAAATTTCATCAGTTCTTCACAGTCCTATAAAGGCAATTTTAATGTATTTCGTAAAAGTGAAAATGGATTCACAAAGACAATGACATTTGGGTCTCTAAAATCTACACTTAGAATTGCTTTTGTCACAAGCAAAATATATGAGCAGACTGTCACTTTTTTTTTGAGACAGGTTCTCCTTGTAGCCCCAGCTGGCCTACGTAGTCCAGAGCTGGCTCGCACCATGACTTTTATGAAATGAACCTGAGATTATTTTCCTTAAATCACAATGTATGCAGATTACTTTTTAAGTATAACATTTACATACCAATCACTTCTGATTTTTGCTTATGTCTCACAATAACCCAATGAAACAGTGGGGGAGGGGCAGTTGAGACAGGGTCTCACTGGGTGGCCTGGAACTTTTTATATAGACCAGGCTAGCCTCCATCTCAGCGACCTAACAGCCTTGGCCACTTGTTCGGCCTCCGGAGTTCTGGAATTAAAGCCGTGTATACTTTACAGATGAGGGAAACTAAGGTTTTGGAGGTCAAGTTAATTACCCAGGGACACACAGCTATTACTCATTTCAGCCAGGCTTGGTGGTGCACAACTGTAATCCCAGTACTTCTCAGTAGAAGCCGGAGCTACACCAAAGCTCCAGGCCAGCTTAGTCTACATAGCAAATTCCAGGCCAGCCTTAATGACACTGTCTCAATAATAAATAGCTATTACTTCAAATACAAGCAGTGTGCCTCCACATATGCTGACTGTAAGCAATATAAAATGTTGCTACTAACTGCCAAAATATACTAACCTCTACTGCTAAAATTTCAATCATTTCCAGTTACGTGCAGTGTTTTTATAATACATAATCTGTATGTAATATATGTTTTATGTTTTTATAATAATACATAATATAATATATAAGTATTCTTTACTGTGTAACCTGGTATACAGATGGAAATTTCTAGGGAGTTTTGGATTTCAGACCTTAAAGTGCACCTGAATGACATATGTTGCGGCGGTGGGGGGGGGGGGCTGCAAATGTGTCCTGAGACCTAATAGACATTTCTCACAAGTCCCCAGGAGCTCTAGGAAATTAGGAAATCATACTCTGCTAAGGTAGAGGTTGGCAAACATTTCATTTTTAAAGGATCTGCTAGTAAAGGTTTTGAGGCTACCTATGGTCTCTTTCATAGCCACCTCCCCCACCCCCACCCCACCATTTATAATCCTCAGAAAACATAAGAAAATGTCTAAGCTTAGCTCTCAGACTATACAGAAGCAGGCCTCAGGTAGCCCCTGCCATTAATACATACCAGGAAGTGGTCACTGGTTAAAAAAAAGATTCAGCTATCTCTAATTTTATGAAATTAAACCACTCCCATGAGTGGCAGTTTTAATTCCTAAATGTCTCTCTAGTCTGTGTCCTCCACACACCTCTCCATTCCTGTAGACTACACTCAGGGTCAGGCCCATTTCATCTTTTTGGGATGATTGCCATCTGGTTCATCTTTCCAGGAAGATTGCAGTAACCATTTAGCTAAACTCTCAGCTTTTCAAAATAACCTCAAGAAAGCAACACTGTCCCCATGACCAGGCAGGGAGGCCAGTGTGAATAATGGTCAGAGGCCATTGGTTTGGCTCAGGCCAAAATCTTTGAGTCAGCCTTGACTCCCTCTTTTCTCATACCACACAGCCCATGTCAGTAAACTTCATTTATTCTGGATTAAACACATCACTGCTACCGATACAGTTGTATCCAAGCATACTTAAATGTAACAGGTTTCTGCTTGGCTGTAGTTTCCACTTTTATTCATTCCATTATCACCCATCCCTCACAAAAGTCAGATCTTTTATAGCTACAAATCACATGGCATTCCTCAAACATCCCAAGGCACACTAAATTTTAACTCCTTACTATGCCCAAATATTATCCTGAACCTGTTACTTCCAGCTCTCTTCTTACCATTATTTCTCTCCCTCCAGGACAGCAGCTCCTCCTGACATTCAGACAGATTACCTTTCCACTGAAAGCCTCAGATGTGAATATTTGTCAGTAGTCTGTGAAAAATCAGAGTCAACTCCATCTAGTGATTTCCTTCAGTATCCAAATTGAAATAACTCACTTGTTTTCTAATGATGAAATGATAATGATATGACTTTTCTTTATACAAACCACCCTTGTGAGAATATTAGCCTAATGGTATTCAAGCGATCTATAAGCTTGTCTAAGCTATATTCTAATTTTATAATTCCTGAGTCTTGTTTGTTTATTAGACGGGATCTCCAACTCAGTATCTAACTCAGGGTGGCTTTGAATTCCTTACCCTCCTACCTCTACCTCCTGAATGCTGGGATTACAGATATCTATGAAGAAACTAGATTTATGAGGTGCTGGAGAATCAAACCCAGGGTCTCATGCATGCAAAGCAAGCAGTCTACCAACTGAGCTATACCTCCAACCCCTCTACTATTTCTATAAAAAGATAAATAACAGTCTACAGGTTGTTTGGCAGTGTTTCCTTAGTAGTAACTTAGAGGACTTATTAAAGCCCCTGGCTTTATTGATTCAGTAAGCCACCAGCAAATGCCAATAAAGTAAACAGAATATAAGGTTCAGGCAAACATAGTGAAATATGCTGTCTTCAGGGAATTGAGAGATTAAGAAAAGGAGGATTGTGGTCAGAGAAAAACAAAAAAAACAAAGAAAGACAAAAAAATAATGAAAATAAAGGGCATTGCTATCGCTATTATATTAGAAACATTGAATAGGGGCTGGAGAGATGGCTCAGCGGTTAAGAACACTGCTGTTCTTGCAGAAGACTGGGGTTTGAATCCCAGCACCCATAAGGCAGCTAATAGCTGTCCATAACTCCAGTTCCAGGGGATCCTCTTCTGTCCTCAGGCATTGTATGACATGGGTGCACTTACCTACATGCAGGCAATACACACATACACATAAAATAAAACATAATAAAATATTTTTAAAAAAAACATTGAATAGTACTTTATCCTTCTTCATAACACTACTTATTGGATTTTTAATGTTTGATACCCTCCTTATTCCCCCCCTACACACACACCTGTAAGTTCCATGAGGAAAGAATTCTCTTGGTTTTTGGGTTCAGCACATATTGCTACCACAATGAAAATACCCATCAGCACCTGTTGACTGAGGGACCACTGTGGGATCATGGAGGGAACAAAGTCTTCAAATATTTTGTTTGTTTGTTTGTTTGTTTGACCTTAACTCCTAGAATAGTGAATGAATTAGTTCCTCCCTCTTTCTTCCCTCCTTGTTGGTTAGTTTGTTTGTTTTTGAGACAGTATGCTTGTAGCCCTTGCTGTCCTGGAACTTGCTATATAGACTTGGCTGGCCTTGAACTCACAGAGATCTGCTTGCCTCTATCTCTTGAGTGCTGAGATTAAAGGCCTATGCCTTGGCCTTTTAATTCTTTCTTTTTACTTTTCTTTGGGGAGCAGGGTTTGTTTGTTTTGAGACAGGGGCCTCTCTGTAGCCCCTGCTAGCCTAGAACTCCCTATTGTAGTCCAGGTTGGCCTTGATCTCACAGAGGTTTGCTGCCTGCCTCTGCCTCCCAAGTGCTAGGATTAAAGGTTAATTCTTTCTTAATGAATACTTTTTAAAGCTGTGGATTTTTCCATGCCAACAGTTTGGGTCATATCCCATAGACTTCATTTACCATTGTTGTTTTCTAGCTAGTTTAGAAATTTAATTCTGGCTGTTCTATTGATATTTTGAAAAAGTAGACAGAGAGTGGACATGGTGGCACACACTTTTGATCCCAACACTCTGGAGGTAGAGGATCTCTTTGAGTTCCAGGACAGCAAAGGTACATAGTGAGACCCTGTCTCAAAAGGAACAAACAAAGTAGATACAGAATAGTTTGGATTTATTTATTTATTTATTTATTTATTTATTTATTTATTTAGCCCCAGCTGTCCTGGAACTCACTATGTAGAGCAGGCTGGCCTTGAACTCACAGAGATCCGCCTGCCTCTGCCTCCCTAGTGCTGGAATTAAAGGTATGCGCCACCACGCC